TTCTAGCTTGTAATGCTATTAGCATGGTTAGCTACATTTGTTAACATCTACTCTAACAGGTTTGTCCTTGTGTTAGTTTATCAAACGCATTTCAAATAAAATTCAAATTTGTATTTAATCCCAAGTCAGTCTCGTGTCAAACTAATTAATGGTCCATGACATCATCTAAACTCCATGTTGGTCTTCCATAGACAATTAAAAAAGTTAATGATCTGGAATGGTCTTAATGATCTGATTACTGTCAGGTGCGGTAGGAGGGTGTGGCCTAGTGGTCTGTACTGGAAGTCTTGAACGCTTCTCTGTAAAAAATCTTGGATATTTTTTCAAAGATGGACAATTATTTCTAATAATAATCTTACAGTAGTCTCAGGCCTCCACTTACAAGTTTAAACACTTATATCAATAAAGCAAACGTTTCAAAAATGTATATTTAATGGTGAGCATCAATTTGAAATTTTTGCAGCAGCAGCAGCATAAAACAGATCAAGCTTCACTCTGGTCCAGTTCTTCAACAGGCCACGTGGTGGAGTTAATGAGGTTAGCTTAATGTGTAGAGTTACACCATAAACTCATTAATGAAATGTTCAATTGTTCTGAACTACAAAACAAACACAAACAAATACAAACAGTCACAACACAACACAACTTCTTCATAAATGAACCAGACATGTGCAGAAATATGAACAGCATCATTTCCAAACAATGACGTGGGCTTCATATTAGAAATGAAAATGAACAAAACAAATACAAACTCTGGAGTTAAATGGGAAGTGTCGATGTCTTTGTGTATATGAGGTACTGATACATCATTGGTAAAAAATAATAATAATTGTTTGGTTTTTTTTTTTGCTGACAACTGCCAGAGGGAAAAGCGGGAAAAACACTTAACAGCTTAAGCCATGTAAAAAAAAGTTTCACTCTGCACCAGGTTTCATAGAGAAAATCAGTGAGTGATCAATGAGTTTAGCTTACAGGAAAACAGGAGCTGCTGGTCTACTGCTGCTGTGTAGTAACTATATGTAACTGAGGTAAACCTGAATGAGGCGGTCCAACCACCAAAGAAATAAACAAAAACAAAACTTTTTTAAACTGACCAAGGCAGCAGTAGGTGAACAATTTCACTGCACTATTTAGAAAACAACTGATTTTCTGTATGGACTTTGGTGCTGGTGTGTACCCACTAAAATAACTGGAGAAGAGACGGTAAGGATGTTGGTCAATTGATTTCCATTGTTTTTCCTGCTGTCAGCTATATTACCTCACAGTTGTGGATTATTTTCTAATTGTTGCATAGAGGGCGCTCAAACAAAAACAGTGAAAATTATCTTTAATAGACAGAGAGCCTGACAGTTGTCAAGCAGGAAAAAGCTCCTCAACAGAAATTTGGCCAAAAATATTTACAGTGAAATAAACTGAAACTGAAGAAAATAACGCATATTTAACAAAAAATATATATTTTTTACTTACTTTTTACTTTTAGTTTTCCTGCTGTACAACTTTAAAGTTTATAACAAGTTCTGAGGTCATGGTCGACGCCCTCCTCCACCACACTATGATTGTCTACAACAAATTTCTGTTCATAAACACTGAACTTTTCAAAGCACAATACCAAAATTTAAGACTGTCCATAAATGCAAGATTAAAGATAGGGTAAGATACATGAGGCAAAGACTGTGTTTGAATCAAAATTCCAAAATGATCTAAACTGAATCATGTGTGGGGAAAACGCACACCTCTAATTCATGTCCTTCTTTGGTTGTAGTGTTAAAAAACAGCGAGAGATAGTGTGCCCCCTTCTGGCTGTTCGATCTGCAGAGTCTAAGACCCTGATCAACACCGCAGACTTATTAGCCCTGATAATTAATGCAGATTGGTGGTTAATCCAGTTCATTAAGAACATCTGTTGTTGTAAAATGAAATTAAACAAAGCAACAATCACTCATTTAAGGACAGCTGTGAATCTGATAATTGATAAATCTGCATGATTATTGGTTTAATACTGTCTGATCAGAGTGAGGACTTTAAAGAGCTTCCTGTAGCTCTGCTAACACTAACCTCAAATCAAAACCAGCATCAATGCCCTGTATGTTTCATCAGGAGGAGGAGAGTTCAACTCAGACATCCCCAAGACTAAAAACACAATCGGTTCCAGCTCCACCGCTCAGTGCAGCATGGTCTAAAACTTCATAATGCAATAAGTTAATAACAAGCCTTATTATTATTACTATTATTATCATCCAGGTCACATGATGCACAAATATCATGCAAATGTAAAGCAACAGTACAACCTTCAACTTCTACAACCATTAAAATAATGCATAGGTATTAAAATGGACCAAAACACACTGTAATATGCATGAAACAAGCTGTACAAAAAATGCTGTATTTTTTTTAGTTTTATTAAAAACATTTTAATTTTTTATGTTTAACAGAATAGGGATAAAGTAAAAAAATAAATATCCTATGTACAATCACTTCAGTCACTCCAAAGTTAATGTCACTGCAAGAAAAAACAAAAAGCATCAAAATGTTAAAAATGTTAGTTTAAACATGATGGGACTGTGAAGCGGGCAGATTTTTCAGCAACAACAACACAAAACAAATATTTAAACATTTTTAAGTTTAAGTAGACTCACTTTATTCCACCATCCTGGTACAGGCAAGCCATCATCTCCCTGCGAGTAGAAAAAAACATTTTTTTAATGTGAAATACAAAGAAAGTATGACATAACAGCAAAGACGAGCATCAAAAACCAAAACATACAATTTATAACAAAATTTAAATATTTCAATATCTTACTTTTATACAAGGCAAAAAAAATGCTGTTTTTGAGCTAATACATTTTTTTATAAGATTAAACGGAACCTCTGTATCAAGACCAAGGTGATAAATTAGAAATGGATTAAAGCGAATTATTTTCTTTTACTAATTTACTCCATTTTCCCATTTTTCTCTGTGACAAGGTTTTTGGAACTTACTTAATTTTATGCCAATTTAACAAAAAATAGTTTGACAAATAACACCAGTAACACTAGTAAAGAATTAACTACAAGACAAAGCATTTCCCACTCTGGTCCAGTCCACTGATGATTAAAAAGATAATACAATAGAATAGTATTTGTTTAGTTGTTGTACAGCAGGGGTGTTCCCACAGAGCCTCCATGCACTACAACCTACAAAAAACCACTACAAGAAAAGACAAAAAGATTACCACGAAAATATAAACTGTAAACAATGCTAGAAAGTGGCTGTGAAACATTTTGGCAAGCGGTAATCTTTTCAGTTTCAGGTTTTTTTTTCTTTCTTTTTTTTCAACTTTTAACTGAATACGATTTAAAGACACTAACACAGGCAGAATTAATCAAAATAATTAACATTTAACATAAGCTCTGTTTGTACGCCCCCTGGTGGCCATCCTGAATATGATCCTAGTCTACACTACACAATGGTTCTTAACCTGGGTTCGATCAAACCCCAGTGAGTCAGTCTCAGGGGTTCGGCGGAGGACAAGACACACACCCGACTCATGATTCGTGATGACACGCCCCCAGCTTGGCCATCAATGAAGGGTGCGCATATGAAACTGGTGGGGTTCAGTATCACCAACAAGGTTAAGAACCACTGCTATAGACTGAACTTCAGCCTGACACAGAAACACAGCCACCAGGGGGCAAGTGTGTACAAACCACCTACCACAATTTTCATGTAACTCTAGAAACACTTTTGCTAATCTATGGAACCTGTTGCCTTGAAGATAATCTGGTGCTCCATGCAGTGAGATTACAAAGGAAACCAGAGATTATGGTGAAAAAATGTTTTAGTGTCACTAGTGTCGACAAAGGCACAGCAACAGAAATGAATAAAAACACATGAAGTCTTAACTGGTTGCATTAATCAAAACTTTCTGCTGTGTAAGTGCAATGAGAATGTTAAGACATTAAAATAAAAAATAAACAGCTTTTCCACTTACATGCTTTAGTTACTCTAAATCAGTTTCCCAACCTTTTTTTGGCCACAGCACATATATACACCATCAGGAAAACCCCACGGCACACCACCAAACAAAAATCTCACTAAAACTATATGTAACAAAATATAATAATGTTCTAGTTTGAATTGACTAAAAATGTACTCCTGTTTAGTTGAAGACAACGCTGCTATACTGGCAAAATATAAAACTCAAGTAAATAATAATTGCAATAAAAAAAAACACAAAAGAACCAACTGATAAAGACATCAGAGATCCTTTGGAAGTGAGGTAAGATTGATGATTTTCTCTATGGACTTCTGGTACAGAAGGTGTAGATTATTATTATTATTATTATTATTATTGATTCAGATCCACTAATATATATATGTGTGTGTGTGTTTGTGTGTGTGTGTAGATAGATAATAAAAATACATTTCAACCTCAATATATCAAACAATTAATTGTTATCAGGCTCACTCCAGTTAGAATTGTAGTAGTTATATGACAATATAAATGAAACAGCTTTAATCTGAATGAAAACATGCAACCCTCTCTTCAAAATTGTAATGCTATCATTCAGGTGTGAGGTGTGAGGTGTTAGGGACAGCTAGGTGCATGCTGGGTAAAACTAAAAGGGAAAGAAAGAGCACCATACCACAGGGCAAGGGGCATCCAGCCCGTCCAGGCCTGGCAAGCCTGGTTCACCTTTCTCTCCTTTAAAGCCTCGGAAACCCTGTTTATGAAAACCACCTTTTATAAGAAACAATGTGGCAGCTGGTTCAGTCCTCCTATGGTCATTGCTCCATCCATCCATTGGGGGCAGAAGTTCCTATACCACAAAGGCAGCCAGAGACTGACAGAAACCAGGATCCCTCTGTCCATGAGTGTGGGTTAGGGTTATAAAGATTTCCTTGGTCCAATCACGTAACCCATTACCGAACATTTGATTCTGAATTAACATTTTAACAAACTGGCAATTGCCAAAACATACAGTTTACTAACTAGCTGGCTGTAGCTCAGCAGTTGGTACCATTTTTTTCTACACCCAAAGAGTTGTGGGTTTGATTCCAGGTTTTTGGACAGAAACTTCCTGTCAGTCTCTTTCCTGCGAAGAAAAAAGAATCCTCCAGACAGAGGTGTGGTCCACCGTCTATTTAGATCACATTTTTCTTTCTTGAAATTCCAGTGATCCAAGGCATTGATATTGTTTTTCCCAGACTAACTGGACCACCCTCATTTCTAGGGACTAGTTAGAAACCATTGAGGACCAGAACCAAAAGGAAGCAGAACGAAAAGACCAAAGTTTGACAGAAGATATGGATGTTTCTGTGTTCTACTCTAACATGGTCTCCTTCTTCCTTTTGACTCCAGCCCACATGTGGGACTAATGACATACCAACGGACAGGGGGCATCTAATCCGGGTGCTCCTTGGTCTCCCTTATCCCCTTTGGCCCCCCTGTTGCCTTTCTTGCCCCTCTCTCCCTGCAAACAGCGTATTAAAAAGACAAACTTTAGTCCTCCTGGTTTGAAGCCACACACTTTTGAATTTGTTTTACTTTCACATCAATGCCATTTAGACCATATGGATAATGAAAAATAAGGTTTAATGACTCACTAATGTGTTTGGTTTGCTAAAAAAAGAAACCAAATGTGTTTTTGTTCTAACCACGTAAAATGTAGTATCAAGGTAAGGTAAGTAGGGGGCGTTAGAGTAGGAGGTTAAAGCCAGTGGTTATTGGTGAGCAGGTCTCATCCGTTTACCAGACTAGAAATAGTACTAATGTTGAGGTTGATAAGCTTCTATTTTTTGTTTAATAAACCATCAAATACCAACATGACTTTCCTCTAAATAGCAATACAGTAGTAAAGAGGCAAACAGTATCAACACATTTACAGCACATAATGTTGTTCGAAATGTTTTAATGGGGAGTTAGTTAAAGAAAAACTTCTTTCCATCTTGCAGTCAGTACCTGGTTCAATCAGTTAATGGCACTAGTCTCTTTGGTAACATCATGCTTTAATTACCCTGAATAAGCAAGACAGTAGTGTCATTTTTTTTTTAAGTTTATGAAAATTTGTCTTTTTGTCAGATGTCTCCCTTTGATTTTCTAGAAAAGTTCCTTAAAAAGCTTTACAGCCTTTACTGTTTGTTGGTGCTGCTGAATGATGTTTGTTTTGTTAAGATGTGCATTTCACAATAATAACAGGAAAAGAAAAAGGAAACAACTTGAGGTGAATGAAACACCTGCTCACCAAGGTCACAGGCTGTAAGGGTTGAAATAAATTAAACAGGAAGTAGATGAACCTGCTTCCGGACTGTGTTCTCCCAGGACTGTCTGACATGATGTACACCTCATAATCATAGTTGATACATGTAATAAATGTGCATTTTGGAAGGTTTTTATACACAGTGCTTACTGTGCTGAATATAGACTATTCTATAGGAACTGTAAAGATCACAATCTTCTTCTTTTACTTTCGGCTTTGTCCCTTTTTTCAGGGGTTTCCACAGCGTATCATTGATTTCCATCCTTGCTGTTCTATTTATCTCCTACTCTGACTCCAAGTATCTGCATGTCCTCCCTCACTGTATCCATATATCTCCTCTTTGTCCCCTCTGTGTCCCTACCTGGTAGCTCCATCTCTAACATTCTTCTACCAATGTATCCACTGTCCCTCCTCTGGACATGTCCAAACCATCTCAGTCTGGCTTCTCTAGCTTTTTCTCCTAACCTTCCTGTCTGTGTTGTCCCTCTAATGACCTCATTCCTGATCCTGTCCATTCTTGTCACTCCTAAAGAGAATCTTAGCATCTTTAACTCTGCCACCTCCAGCTCCTCCTCCTGTCTTCTGCCTATTGCTACTGTCTCTAAACCATACATCATGGCTGGTCTCACCACTGTCCTGTAAACCTTTCCCTTCACCTTAGCTGACACTCTTCTGCCACCGATCACTCCTGACACTTTTCTCCAGCTGTTCCATCCTGCCTGTACTCTATTCTTCACCTCTCTTCCACAGTCTCCGCTGCTCTGAACAGTTGATCCTAAGTACCTAAACTCCTGCACCTTCACCACCTCTGCTCCTTGTAGCCTCACTATTTCACTGTTCTGCCTTTCGTTTACACACATGTACTCTGTCTTGCTGCGACTGACCTTCATTCCTCTTCTTTCTAGTGCAAACCTCCACCTCTCTAGGTTCTCTTCTAGCTGCTGCCTACTCTCACTACAGATCACAATGTCATCTGCAAACATCATAGTCCATGGGGACTCCTGTCTGACCTCATCTGTCAATCTGTCCATCACCACAGCAAACAAGAAGGGGCTCAGGGCCGATCCTTGATGTAGTCCCACCTCCACTTTGAAGTCTTCTGTCCTCCCAACAGCGCACCTCACTACTGTTGTACTATTCTCATACATGTCCTGCACCAAACTAACATACTTCTCTGCCACTCCTGACTTCCTCATACAAAACCACAATTCCTCCCTTTGCACTTTGTCATATGCCTTTTCTAAATCTACAAATACACAATGTGAAACTAATATGATCATATTAGCAGGTTGTCAGCCTAGCAAAACATAGAAGGGGACAGATATTATTGTTATGATAGGTACAACATTTAAATAGTGTTGTAGATTTCTCTGTAGATTTCGGTGTGAATCCTAAAGAACATGCTGCTAAGACGCTAGTTAGCCTTGCTTAGCATAGAGATAGTTCATTCTACCTCTGTTATTTTTAAGGTAAGGCAGTTTGTGATTTCCACCTGTGAAAGTGGTTATTACATGTTGTAGCTACAGGCTATGCTAAGAGGCCAGTCAGCTTTGATTAGCCGTTGTTAGCTTGTAACATAGTAGAAAACAGGGGCATAACTATGCTCTATGCTAACCAAAGTAGAGGAAGAAAATGTCATTGACCTAGATATGGAGCTGGAGAAGTGAACTTATTAGCCTAACTTAGCACAGACAGCATCTGAGTTATATTTGGATTCAGGGACTTGTTTATCTATGTTAGCATATTAGTTTAGAAAACAAGTTAAATCTACATTGTGTTAAACTGACACCTTTGCTTTTATATTAATTTATGATAATTAATTAAGAAACAGCA